GACCAGAGGGGACGGATCGAGATATTGATTGGAGCTACATGTGAGATTACCCTTGCAGAGGAGCTTTATCTCAGGAGCGTTGCAGACGAGGAGATGGCTAGGTGCATGGCGTACATCAGCAAGATCGATCCTGCAGCACCCATGGATATCAGCTACATGGTCCTAGAGTCGATAGCACCAGGGTTCCCAATGACGAGGAGGATCAGCGTGTGCCAGACATGGAGTCTCAGACAGTCGAACCCACTCACGAGGGGGTACCGCTTATCATTATTGATTGAGATTCTCTCCTTCTAGTCACTATGATGTATCATGACATTATTATGATTTACTAGTGACTACAACCCCTCCAATGGTTGCTCCCATTATTCCCTGTGTGTTACTCTTCAGTCTCGTGTCTTTGGTCATGCTCTTACAGAGTCTGGTTTCTGGTCTTTTCGTCCTCTCAGTGTCATTTATTTGATGATGCATGTCCTGTAATGTATGGAACGTTTTATGCATGATGTAATACGTTATTTATCACTCCTTACCATAACAGGTTACACTCAAGGCTACTCGAAGGACTCCTGGATAAAAGGGACTCCGGTGACCTTGAATCTAACCTTTATACGGGGTCAGGTGCAGACGATAAAACCGAACGCCTCACTCTAAGCCGTGTCGCCGCTGGCTGGAGGGATAATCCTGACTACTCGACTGTGTGACAAAGGCTGCTTGTGAATGCACTTCTACATAATTTCTCTATAACTTACCAAAATCCTGCGTGACAGCCTGCCAGTCCACCAACCCACTGCACTCGGTCGGGGAAGGACATCGAACCAGGCCCTGGAAGCGGTGGGGGCGCGACAACGGCTCCAATGGCGAACTCGGATGCATCAATGATAACGTAGAAATATCGAGAAGGGTCGGTGATCTTAAGGACAGGGGCCGTGGTGCTGGTTTGTTTGAGGAAGTCGAAGGCGTTTTGGTGGTGGTCGTTCCAATTGAAGGGTTCGTCCTTGCGTGTGAGGTCGTGGAGTGAGTAAGAGGTGTCAGAGAAGTTGCTGATGAAGGGACGATAGTAGTTGGCAAGGCCGAGGAATGAGCGTAGTTGGAATAGGGTCTTGGGCAAGGGGTACTCAACGAGGGCGGTGACCTTCGGGGGGTCCATGCGGATTCCTTCAGCAGAGACGAGGTTGCCAAGGTATGGTACGCTAGGCAGCAAAGGTGGATTTGTTGAGCGTGACATAGAATTTTTGCTCTCGGAGGATAGAGAGGAGTTGGCGAAGGTGCTGAAGGTGGGACTCGAAGGTGGGGCTATAGACAAGGATATCATCAAGGTAGACGACGACACATCCTTCGAGGAGGTTGCGGAAGATGTGATTCATGGTCGGCATTGGTGAGTCCGAAGGGCATCACGAGGAACTCGTAGTGCCCGAAGCGAGAACGTAATGCGGTCTTGTGGGTGTCCTCCTCACGGATGCGGATCCACATGGCCGGTCACAACCCCGACTCCACCTACTATTGCCTTGTCCGTGATCGCAGACGTCCCGAGGATTTGCTCCCTACGGACAAACCCGATCAAGCTCCCCCCACTGACCCCCCCCTCACCTCCATTCTCAACGAGTTCAGAGACGTTTTTCCCGAGTCATTGCCTGTGCAAGGAAAATGAACCGAAGCGAGATGACAATATTAAGATTGCACAATCACATTGATAGCCAAATCGTAACACAGTGTTCAGGAAGCAGCATTGCACCAATATAATACCAATAGAGAATCGTAGTACTGAAAGTCAATGTCAATGAGAGCTTGCTCTCGCCACCACCAACATATGTATCCAGTCTCTGTCTCCCTACTTGGCGCTCAGCGCCCAGCCTACTCCCTACACAGCTACTACTAGCCTACTAATTGACAATGCAACTGTTGACGTCAGCAGCACCCGAAGTACTTGAAGATGTCGCCC